TTATACACAGTTGTTTCTCGTGTCATTCCTCAAATTAGATTAAGATTTTGCATCACGAAGAAACAACACGATACAAGTTTTTGGTCTATGCGGTTGCTAAGCAACATTATATAGCAAGTCACAAGATAAATATAAATATCGTTGGAAGTAAAAATACATAGTTAAGATAACTAACTTTCTCACCTTCTCTCCACCTCCAACCACCGTACTCCTCCACCGGATCTCCGACATGGCTTCAAAAGACTGTGGCTCCCACCACAGCGACTCATCTCTCCGCCGTAAAATCCTCCGACGTATAATCTACCCTATAATAGCCTTCCTCGTAATAATCCTCTTCTTGATTCTCATAATATGGGCAATTCTTCAACCTTCGAAGCCACGTTTCATCCTCCAAGACGCCACCGTCTTCTCCTTCAACGTCACCGGCGATCCACCGAATCTCCTCACTTCAAATTTCCATGTAACCATCTCTTCTCGTAACCCTAACGACAAGATCGGAATCTACTACGACCGTCCCGACGTCTACGCTTCTTACAAGAGCCAACAGATCACTTTTCCGACGTCGATTCCACCGACTTATCAAGGACACAAAGAAGTCAACGTTTGGTCCCCTTTTGTCGGTGGAAACTCTGTTCCGGTGGCTCCGTACAACGCTTTGTGTCTTGAACAAGACGGTGGCGTTATGAGAGTCAACATGGCGGTGTTATGTTGCTTGTTCGAATCGACGGTCGTGTTCGTTGGAAAGTCGGAGCTTTTATCACCGGAAAATATCATCTTTACGTTAGGTGTCCGGCGTATATCAACATCGGGAATAGTGCAGCCGGAGTTCTAGTCGGAGAAAACGCCTTAATTACTCTAGAGAAGGTAAAAAAACAAACTTTCTAACCTTCTAAACACTCCATAACACTCTCACACAACAGAACAAATCAATAGAGAAACTAATCGTAAATCTGTATAAAGTAATATATATTACTAGATTAGGACCTGCGTTGATACGCGGGTAAATACATTAAAAATTATTTATATAAATTGAAAGTTTTAATTTGTATCCCGTCGAATTACCAAAATATTTTAAAATACTATTTAAACACGGTTTAAATCATTAAAGAACAATTTATATCTTCATTTGCATGTCTTAATCCATATCACATAGACCAAAACCATTATGAAGATATATTAATTATGTGATAAACAATTCAAATATTATAAAGTTATATTAGAAAAATATTATGTGAATAATCTCAAATAAACCTATAAATTATTTGTAAATAATTTTATCAAACATCACTTATAAATCCATGATTGATTAAATGTATACCACAGATGTCGGCAGTTTTTTCTCAAAAAAATATATTATCGTCAAACTTTAAACACTCTTGTATACTAATAGTAATATGTTATTATTACTTTTAAACCTGTATAAATTTTTCATTTTATAATTTTTCTTTTTTAACATTGAAATATACAAATACCGTCATAAGTAGAAAATTTCTATTTTCTTGTGATATTTTATAACTATATTGACATAATAAATATGCTTATAGTTTTTTTTTCTTTGGTATCGTTGTGCATATTTCAAACTATTACATTGAAATTTTCATATTTTCTAATTTTGTTTTAAATTTAAGTTTATATGATCTCTTTTGTTTTATCATTCGCCTTTTTGGTTATTGAAA